ACTGTTCAAAGAGGGGGAGGGGAGGGGAGGGGGAGGCGCACGGCGTGGGGGTGGGCGGTGGACCTCCTTCCTTCCTTCCTTCCTTCTCCCCCTGCTGCTCGGGCGCGTTGGAATTCAAGAGAGGTTTTGGACGCTGGGGCCCGTCTCCGTCCGTGGGAAGGGAGGCGGGCTCGGCCGTCGCTGACTCGGTATTTTCTGGCGTCTGGTTGCGGGGGCGGCCGGTGGGCGTGGGGCAGCAGTACGGGATAGAATGACGTGGAAGTGGAAGGTCTCTGAGGTTTGGACTCCGGACCGGTGGACTGCTCTGCGTGTGAGCGAGCGTGCGGGGCGGTCGACACTCGACAGGCGGGTGTGCGGGAGAGATACGTTGCGATCTTGCACTTCGCTTGCTCGCCTACGACCGTGGTGGGAAAACGGTCCCACCGCCACCGGGCTGAGTGTGCCGTGGTTGGTGACATGAGCGTAGGTATTGGACTTGTGACGATATTATTCGTCGGACAAAATTGGCGATCGGGACGAGTCGCTCGTCATGCCCAACACGTGTGCCCGCGACGTTAACTGCTATCCGGAAATATGCTGAAAATAAGTAGTACTGTACTACAGTACTAGTACTAGACCCAATCGGATCCTTCGATCAGCCAGTGGCAAGGGCAATAATAACACGCTTCCCTTTATTCCGGATCCTTCCATAAGATTTAGCGCTCTCGGATTGATCGCTTTCCCTTGGTTCCAAGGCTCGTAGCTGCACCCTCAAAAAAAAAAAGGCTCGTAGCTGCGAAAAGGGTGTGCTGGCTGAATAACGTCAAATCCCCTCCGGAAAGGAAAGATGCTAAGCTGCAAAGGGGAGGCCAGGTACAAACGTTTCCTTCTTCTCCTTGCAAGCTGTCGCGTGCATAGTTGATGACGATATTCCTTTCCAGATTTTTCCTCGTTCGATCGTGGTGGCATTTATGTATGCGTACGAAAGAATTCGACTAGTAGTGCCGAAATTCGTATTCACTGAGCAAGTAGTATATGGTGGACCATGCAAAAAAAAAGTAGTATATGGTTGTACACGCCCAGTTTTCTTTGGGAAGGAGGGAGTAGATTTCAAGGTCAGGAACGGGTAACCTTTTTTGGCGAGACAAGTAACGAGTACCTTTTCTGTGCATTCTATTCAGCAAGCCCGTCTAGCTCAGTTGGTAGAGCGCAAGGCTCTTAACCTTGTGGTCGTGGGTTCGAGCCCCACGGTGGGCGACCATTTTTTTTTTCCTCCGGGCTTTTTTGTTCGAACTGGAAATGGTGAGTGAGTATGAACTTTAGGCTCCGCAGAACTGGAAATGGCAACCACAGGGCACCTGCTAGAGACGCAGCTCGAAACGAATCCCAAAGCTTCTTCCTCATCATAATCACAACAGATCAGGAGGAACAATCTCATTTCTGGCCTTGAATCCTACGTCCAACTGCTCTGCTGGCCGTGTGCAACGCGGCATCGATGACCCGCCAACAACTCAAACCTCCACTCCAGAAAGGGTAGCAAAAAGCCGATCAGGTGAAGCAAAACAAAAACCCGATGTCCGCGACCACGGCCGAGGCCGTGCGCCGGCTCTGCGCCGCCGGCGAGCTGCGGTCAGCGCTAGCGCATCTCGCCCGCGGCGCGAAGGCGGGCGACGGGGCGCTGGACGTGGCCGCCTGCACGGCGCTCGTCCACGCCTGCTGCAGGACCGGCGACCTGGCGGAGGCGCGGAGGGTGTTCGGCGCAATGCCGCGCCTGGGGCTGGCCCCGAACGAGGTCACCTTCACCGCCCTCATCCACGGCCACTTCGTCCGCGGGCGCAGGGACGAGGGCTTCGCCCTGTTCGACGAGATGAGGAGGGGCGGGGTCGAGCCGAACATCTACACCTACAACGTGCTGATCGGGGAGTGGTGCAGGACGGGGGAGTTTGAGGGCGCCCGCCGCCTGTTCGACGAAATGCCCGCGAAGGGCGTCGCGCGGAACGCCGTCAGCTACAACACGCTGATCGCGGGGCTGTGCAGGCACGGCAGGATGAAGGACGCCGCCCGGCTGCTGGAGACGATGCGGAAGGAGGGCATCCGCCCGAGCATCGTGACGTTCAACCTCCTCGTCGACGGGTATGGCAAGGCTGGGCAGATGCCCAACGCCTTGCATTTCTCCAACCAAATAAGGGCCGCTGGGCACCAGCCCAACGCTCTGACGCACAATGCGCTCATTGCGGGGTTCTGCCGTGCTAGAGATATTGCCCGTGCAAACAGGGCGTTCTCTGACATGAAGGAGCGAGGACTGACACCCACAAATGGGACCTACACCATACTGATTGATGCATTGGCCCGGGGCGGTGACATGGACAAAGCTTTTGAGATGTTTGCGGACATGGGGAAGGCTGGTTTGGAGGTGGATGTGCGCACTTACGGTGTTTTGGTGCATGCTCTCTGCATGGAAGGGAACATGAAAGACGCCAGGAAGCTGTTCCAGTCGATGGAGGAGAAAGGCGTTAAGGCGAATGGTGTGATCTATGACATGATGATTTTTGGCTATGGACGAGAAGGGAACTCCTACAAGGCTATGAAATTAATCACGGAGATGAGGAAGAATGGCTTGGTTCCAAATTTCGCTAGCTATGGCCTGACGATCCGTAGTCTTTGTAATGATGGTAAATGTCCGGAAGCTGAAGCTCTTATCAAGGACATGGTGCAGGCTGGTCTACAACCAAACGAATCGCTCTCCCAAGCACTACTGCATGCCAAGGCAAGACAGGGAAGCTCGACCAGTAACTTTTTTACCTAGGTAGTTAAGTATGTGTTTTATGTTTCTGTGCAAATTCATATGTTGTATGTTTGTCTTGAGAAAGTGGGAAGAGGAAGCACACCCTCTGGTGGAAATCTGATGAAATTTCTTTAGTAATCTGAAACACTGCTCAGTGATTTACTGGACATTGCCAAAACTTAACCAAGGGCGATATGATAGTGATAAGCAAATTCAAAGCAACAAAAAGTAGATGTATGTGCAGAGCACTCTCACTCTATCAGCGAGGTAAAGGTCAGTGCATCCATACTTGTATAATTTATGTTGGTTGTGTAAACACATTTGTGTTGTATAGCAGCGACCAAGTTATATGCAAGTTGGATAATTCGGGTTCTTCTTTTCCCGATGCTAACAGTAAACATGCTATATGAATGCTTTCTTTCTGTTTTTCGTTTTGGAGGCAAATAGACATGCTATTTTGAAGACAAATATTTACCAACTGATTGCGGTCTTCTTTAGACAACATGGAAAATAGCTTTACAATAACGTAGTTTTCCTTATCCCTGTGATGCTGATTTGACACAGCTGAGGCATTCATCCTCTGTAGAGAACTGGTAACTGGCGCCTCACATCCTTGATGTAGTCAAATGTTACTGCAGGTATGTGCATCGTGGGATGTCTGGTTTCCCTGGTATTTTTTGTTGCAAACATGCTAGAGTTTGGAGGCAATGCTTGAAAAAACGAGGGATTGCTTACTTATCAGCTTCGAACAATCTAAGAATTGGGGTAAGAAAAATACCAACCCATCCAGGATTCACTCTGCAGGCTGCCAATTATTACATGAGCGTTCCTGATGAAACACCAGTTCATCAAAGGGCACCCTTTGGGCGTCCCTGTGACCGCCGCGGGGGGCTTTGGCATCAACTGATGCCTGGTTGTGTTTCTAAGTTGGTGTTGGCGCAGTCACGACCATCGATACTCCTCGTTGGAGCTAGGTGCAGTTGCAGGATCTGCGAGCCGCTGGAGGTGGTGGCAGTGATATCGTCGAAGACGAGGGGAGGCGAGATGAGCGTCGAGGAGCAGCGATGATAGGTTGGCGACCGAGGCACCTAGTATCGGACATGAAAACTATGATCCTCGGTCCAGCCTTGATGGTTAGCCAGCGATACGATCAGTGAGCCGGCGGAGTTGGTGTCGATTTCGCTGGAGACAATGGTTAGTGTTAGGGTGAAGAGTGTGGATCAACCACGGCGAGGTTAACTATGCACTTCTTTAAAGAAATACATGAACTTTATTCAAACACGACAATCTAACACTGCTTTGGATCGAAGATTTAAAAACTACAAAGTACTCCTAACTCTTAAAACCAAGAATTTCAGTGAAATCTCTTATATACATCCTCTTTGTGATCATTTTTTTTTTTGAAAGAGGAATTTCTACGAAGGAGGCACTACAGCTAGAAAAACCGACGATCTGACTTCGCCAACGCTACGCTCCCGACTCCCTTACCTCTCCTGACTCCGCCTCGCGCCGCCTCCCCGGGCAGCGGCCGGGGCGGCTCCCCCGCGTCCTCTCCTTGCCCCCACCCCTTTGTCATCCCTCCCCCGTCGCCACCGTACGGCGCCCCCGAATCTGGCCGGGTGGTCTCGGCGGCGGCGGGCCTTCCTTTCCCCTGCGCGCGGCGCCCCTCTCGGGGCAGGGCTCGGCGGCGGGAGCAGCTCGCCTGGCGGCAGTCCAGCATCCTGGCGTCGGGGTCGGCGGCTGGTACTGTGGTGACGCAGCCTTTTGGCGGCGGGGCGGCCTGGTGGCGCTGGGTGGCCAACGGCGCAACCTCGGCCCAGATCTGGGCCCTTAGGGCCCCATCTGGGTCCTAGCGGGCCGGCGACGGCGTGGCTTCGCTGCCTCCGGCATGATGAAGTGGAGGAGTGGCTCGGACAGGAAGCAGCGACGCCGATGGCATGCCTTCTGCAGCGTGACGGTGGAGCTTTACGGGCATTTGAGGGCCTGGCCGGGCCTATGGGTCCATGGGCCTGGTATTGCTCCTACTGTTGCGTCCGGTCGGATCTCGTTGGTGACGGTGGAGGTTGGGCCCTCCCGTGTGCTGACGGTGCCGCTGCTTCGAGTCCCGGCTTCTCTTCTTCGCTGTGCAGATCCCACTTTGCGGTGTCGTGGTGAGACAGCATGGGAGACTCAAGACCGTATTGACACATGGTGATGGATGGTATGGTGGCGTGCTCCGGAGCGCCCGGGGTGATGGTTGGGGTCAGGAGAAATCCCTCGACTCCGACGCGGTGGCGCCTGAGGGTGCCGCCGGACCTTCCTGGAGGGCGTTGGGTGCCATCCTTCCTTTCTCCTTGCCGTGTACCTGGGGAAACCCTTGCAGCAGCGTCGTCATCGCCGCGTTCTTTCTTGGAGGTGGTGTGTGGTACCGGCGCTTCGGAGTCGGAGCTTGGTGGAAGATCCCCGGCTGGCGCAGCGGGCGCGATGATTCTTCATTTTTTTTTGTCGTTGTCGGTATTTGTTTCTTTTATATTTTCTTTTTCATTTTTTCTGGGCATGCCTGTACTGCTTCCGCCCCAG